TTCCTCGGTGCAATGGTAAATAGCAGGACCGCACAGTTTAAATATTTTCTAATTAATTTCATCTGTACGTACGGTTACTTGCAATATTCTACTCGGTGCATTATTTAAGGATTAACTCGCGAAAATGTTGCACTGCAAAATACCAAAAACTTATAGCCAAATCAAAATGTATACTCTACGACGTATGTAACAATACGTCCTAGAGTAAAAGATTTGATTTGACTGTAATCTGTCGGTATTTCGTAGGCCAACATTTTCGTGTGTTAATCCTTAAATAATGCACCGAGTAGAATATTGCAACTTCTCAAGTAATAACTGAACGTATAGATAAAATTAATTAAAAAATAGTTAAACTGGGCGGTCCTGCTATTTGCCATTGCACCGAGGAAATCGGTCCTCGCATGTAACAATACGTCCTAGAGTAAAAATTTTGATTTGGCTGTAGTTTGCCCGTATTTCGTGGGTCAACATTTTCGTGTGTTAATTCTTAAATAGTGCACCGTGTAGAATATTGCAAGTTCTTAAGTAATAACCAAACGTATAGATGACAATAATTGAGAAATAGTTAAACTGGACGGTCCTGCTATTGACCATTGCACTGAAGAAATCGGTCCTCGCATGTAACAATATACATCCTGCAGTAAAAGTTTTGATTTGGCTGTAATCTGTCGAAATTTCATGGGCCAACATTTTCGTGTGTTAATCCTTTAATAAAGCACTGAGTAAAATATTTCAAGTAATCAAAAGTACAGGTGAAATCAATCGATAAATTGTTTAACTAAGCGGTCCTATTATTTACACATTGCAATGAGGAAATCAGTTCTCAAATGATACACTGAGAAAAAATTGTTCTGCATTTTAGTAAATATTTAGTTTGCATACAACTGTTACTCTATTTATTAAAAAAAAGAAAGTTTTTTTTTTTTTATTTTAGAATACTTTTTTCTCAGTAAATGGGGTCACAGTTGCATGCAAACCAATATTTACTAAAATGCAGAACATTTCTTTTCTCATAATCAGTGTATATCGTATACAATAAAGGTTTAATTTAGCTGTAAAATCTGTCGGCATTTCGTGGGCCAACATTTTCGTGTGTTAATTAAATAATGCACCGAGTAGAATATTGCAAGTTCTCAAGTAATAACCAAACGTATAGATGAAAATAATTGAGAAATGGTTAAACTGGGCGGTCCTGTTATTTATCATTGCACCGAAGAAATCGGTCCTCACATGTAACGATACGTCGTAGAGTATAACCTTTGATTTGGCTGTAATCCTTCGGTTATTCGCAGTCCATCATTTTCGCTTTTAAATCTTTAAATTATGCGTTGTGTAAAATATAGCTTATGCGAGGTATACGTAAAATTTGTCGAAGAATAATTTATTTGATCGGTTCTGTTATATTATCCATTATATATCATGGAAATCGGTCCTCGCATGTGACGATACGTCTAGTAAAAGTTTTGTTTCAGCTATAATTTTTACTTATGTTTTCATTATTTTCGTGCGTTTTTTCTTAAATAATGCACTGAAGATAATATTTGAAAATTTCACGCAGAAAATTTTTCTCGAATAATGTAGAATACTCATAATAAAATTTACTAGATTTGCTAGGTTCCGGTAAGATATACGCGTATTCAACCGGAAATTAATATATGACAATAGAAATGTAATAGTTTGATCAGATACATCTTGTAACCTAAAGGTAAATAAATTTGCCATACTAACAAGGAAATATGAGAACAGTAAAAAAAGTCCCATACTAGTATGTATATATTCGACGTTGTAGCTTGAATTGCCAACTTCATATGTCTTGGATTGAGCGTTGTTTTTTAAGACAGTATAGGAAAAATATAATCTAGAATGGTACCTATTGTGAACTGTATAGAAATATTCGTTGCGTATCTGACAATAGTTTATGTTCTTTATAGAAATGCGATAGTAACCGCGATCGTGGACGACGGAAGGCGCGCGGCGCGAGCGGCAACGTGGGCTCGCGCGGCGAGAGGATTCGGCTCGCGCCCGCTACGCGGCGCATCGCCGGTACATTCTCGCGTGATTAAGATTCAACATCGACCTTTTATCTAGGGCAGCTCGGCAGGGTCCCTATAGCGTTCTTAAGTTCGCACGTGGCGGACAGCTGACCGCCACAGCCTATAACGGCAACTTATTCAACTTATGTTTTTTGACATGACTGCAACAGACGTCTCGTTTTTTGTTCATCAGCGATATTCGGGATAAGACACAATCGGACAAAATATAATTGAATCATTCGTCTTTAAATTAACGTAGTAAAACGCGCTCTCGAAAGTCCCATACTTGATGGAAATATTTACTTCTGCGTATAGTTTTATTTTTTGCTCTCTAAATTTTCCTATACTTTCTTGAAATCTTTTGCATATTATGACTATATCCTAGCCGTGCAAGATTAGTATGGTATTTACTTTGTTCGTGTATACTTGTATTTACGAGAAAAATTTTCTGCGTGTTGAACATGAAATTCTTCGAAAAGTATAACTGGTCAGAGTCCTGCTGTTTGCTATTACATCGGTGAAATCAGCGAAGGAGTCGAAAAACTTTTTTCTACAGTGTATCGTCGTAGAAGTTTGTATGGAAATCGATTTCTTTACTGTAACAACAAAAATTAGAACCTCGTAACATTTTAATTGATTAGTTTATTTATTGATGTTAATTATTTTAATTCTAATTTTAATTAAATTGACTAATTTAAATTTATAATTACAACTTTATCAAGCACAACGCAGTAACAACGATTTAATATAACTTCTTTTTAACATAACTTTTAGTAAAAGATAGCATTTTAGAAAGCACATTTAGTAGCTTGATGCATACTCCTTTTTAAATAGTAAAATATTAATAGATGTCCTTTATTATGAATAAATAATCATTATGTGCTAAATGTATATAAGTATATAAACAGCTTGATTGGACTCTCTAAATATTTTGAATTTTATATTTAAGAAATAATACGCTCAAAGAATGATGATACAACTTAATTCAGTAAAATTGTTCAGATAAGGAGGTCCCGGTTTTTTACATTGCATATATCTAATTACCGGTACCAGTCCTTATAATTCACAATGCCTAGGAAGGAAACACGGTCCTACTTTGTTACGTTACACATCTTTGTATAAACTAGTACCGGGCCTGATAAGTTACCTTTCATACAGAAAATTTCTGGGTCGGACCCAGCATGTGCCAAAAGTCCTGGTATGTGTTATTGCATCTCCGAAATGGTCCCGACATTATACAAACCATAAAGATATAAATTTATATATATAAATATAAGTTTTATATATATGTATAATATTTATCTATATATGTATATAAAATTTATATAATTTTTTATAAAAATCTTTCATTTTTTAAATATATTTTATGATTCTTTATAAGACTTTTACATTATTTTACAAATTAAAAATTTTTTGATTCTACAAGAAAAAAAGTCGCACAAAAACTTACGGCTATTCAACTATGCAATAATGTAAATGGACTCAAAAGTAATAGGATATTTTATCACTTATAATTGAAATAAATATTCATGGAAATATTTAACATTGATTATATTACACACAAACCTATCTAAAGTTCATTTCAAATAAATTAATATTATGTTTTTATGTACCTATATATTTTATAACTCATTGCATAATCTTTCTCAAGCATATCGTTGTACTGATAGAGATATGTATTTATTACCTGCATGTAGCTTTGTTTTGGCAAACTGGAATATGTTCGTCGTTAAAACACAACGGACCTTCGTTGCAGCTCCTTCCGCTAAAACCATCGAAACAATCGCACCAGAAGGACCTGCGAAAGAAAATCCGTAACAATTAAGGAAACGTTGTGCTTTCAGGATGAGTAGGCAAATCGCGAAAGATCATTAACGATTCATGAGTTGCAAGATTCGTAATCCTATAGCAACCTACTTTTGTGAACATTTAATTTTTTGCGATGTATTTATCTTTGAAGATATAAGTTTCTAAAAGATGCGAATTTCGAGTGATTTTCTAATAGCAAATTGGCGAAATTGTGTTATATTAAACGAGACTAAATGTTTTCTTTCTGTTAATGAAAATGTTGCAACTTATATAGAAGAAAAATAAAATATTCCGTTTAGATTTTTATTGTTTTTAGATTATTAGTAAAATATCCCTTTTATAATTAAAAAATGTAGGTATAGCTAAAATAAAAGTATTACGTTTACAATTCACAGTCTGTTGTTGCAAAGATTATTTTAGATGATTATATTAGTTGCAAGAACTATAATAATTTATGTTTTCTCAATACAAGTTAACATTTCACATGTAACGCTTTGGTCAATTTATTTTCAGCTTTCTTTATTAATTAAATTTCTGGATTAATCTTCTGCTGTGATGTGTAATTTCGCACATTGTCTGAAAAGTTTGTCTTCAACTTCAATAACGCGCGAGCGCTTTGTAAGTTCAAACTTCGAATATTGTACTTGTTAAAGTTAATCAATATTGCAAAAGTGATTATGGTTTCAGATATGCATAAGAAAAGTTAATTATAAAGAAGCAAGACAGAGATAATAATGCGCAAGTATAATCAAAAGCAAATTACCACGAAAACTTTACATAAATACATAAATATTCTTACAAGTAAAAGGTATACTAATGAAATAATACATAAATATATAAGTGATAAACAAATCAGGCTCGACTGTATATTTCTTAATTTGACCCGCGGTATGACAGTAGATTGGTAGCAAATTTGCTGAGATATCGCAACAGATTCTGTGTTATCTATATCCAAATTAAACTCGTGTTTTGCTGACAGAACTTGCCGACATAATCTGATAGCGAATTATCTGCAGAAACCGAGCAGAATCTGTTATTTCGTATTACATAAATATTTAAATAAAACCGATCATTTAAATAGCTATAAAATGGCAGATTTTGCTCAGCTTCTGCAGTCATTGTGCCATATTTTGTCAGCAGATTCCGTTACATTTCTATCGGCATTCTATCGATAAAATTTGCAGCAGACACTTTCAAAATCCCGACAAATTTGGCTAACCGGGAACTCACGTGTAATCCGTAGAGACGAGACAGTTGCCCGCGAAGGAACAATCACGTACAGTGCACGAATCGGGATTCGGGTGTTCCTCGGTCATCTCGTACGTCACGTTGAATCCATACACGTCAAGCAGGTCATTCAGCACTCTGACGTGATTACCCTCGAGCCGATCGAGCTCGAACTCGACCACCAGGAACTGCCTGAACGTCCTGAGGCGTCGGTACTCGAAGACGTTACCCTCGGTCACCTCTTTAACCAGGGCCGCCCCGTAGTTCATGGTCTCGGACTCGTAGTACGCGTACTCGGTGAAGCGCAGCCCCTTGTAGACGTAGAGCTGCGTCAGGTAGACAACGATGGAGCTGTTGGTCGACGGGATGTCGGACACGTCGATCACCCAGCGGCACTTGATCGGAATCGGAAACGGTCCGGGGAAATTCGGCGTGTGTATAACACCCCTGGAGCCGGCCAAGTGACCACCACAGAACGGGTCAGCGTCCATGGTGACACCCGGAAGATTGACGCAGAGGAGACCCAGAAGAAGAGAAACGCCTGACACGGTCGTCTTCATCTTCGCCGAATCTATCGGAAAATAACGACATGAGAAAAACGTGAGCACATAGAGATGTTAGAATTACTATCTAATGATGAACATTAATTCGTAGGTAGGTATTCCAGACGAGATCATACATTAATTTTTTTCTTATAGGATTCTTAGGAGTTTCTAAAAAAGAATGGGATTTTTCATTTTCTACGAATATCTTTCATTTTTTCATAGTTGGTGCAATATAATATTTGTTAAATTCATATCTTGTAATATATTCTTTTTTAATAATAATAATAATAATAATAATAATAATAATAATAATAATAATA